CACAGATGGCTGAGAAAAGACTAAGAATCATAGAGTCACTAAAGTTGGAAAATACCTCCAAGATCATCAAGTCCAACTTCCAATTGAACACCACCCTCAGCCATTAGGCAGGCACCTGGTCATAAAATACCAGGTTGGCCAAGCAGGACCTGCTTTTCCTGAATCCATGCTGGCTGGGCCTCATCCCCTGGATGTCCTGTACCTGCTGCATGATCCTATTCAACGTGATCTGTTCCGTAACTTTTCCTGGCACTAAGGTCAGGCCGACAAAGCCAGAGTTCTCCAGATCCTCTTTCTGACCATTCTGGTAGCTGGGTGTCACCTGGTCAACCTCCAGTCACCTGGGATCCCCACAGTTAGCCAGGACTGATGATAAATGATGGAGAGTGGCCTGGCCAGCTCTTCCACCGGCTCCCCCAGCACCTCCATGTGAACCCCATCTGGCCCCAGAGACTTGTGAGTTTCTAAGCGGCACAGCAGGAATAACTACTTCCTCCCGGATTGCAGGGGGTCTCTTCAGATCCCTATCCCTGTCAACCAGATCAGGGGGCTGGTTGCCCTTGGGACAGCCACACCTGGTCATAAAATACCAGGTTGGCCAAGCAGGACCTGCTTTTCCTGAATCCATGCTGGCTGGGCCTTATCCCCTGGATGTCCTGTACCTGCTGCATGATCCTATTCAACGTGATCTGTTCCGTAACTTTTCCTGGCACTAAGGTCAGGCCGACAAAGCCAGTGTTCTCCAGATCCTCTTTCTGACCATTCTGGTAGCTGGGTGTCACCTGGTCAACCTCCAGTCACCTGGGATCCCCACAGTTAGCCAGGACTGATGATAAATGATGGAGAGTGGCCTGGCCAGCTCTTCCACCGGCTCCCCCAGCACCTCCATGTGAACCCCATCTGGCCCCAGAGACTTGTGAGTTTCTAAGCGGCACAGCAGGAATAACTACTTCCTCCCGGATTGCAGGGGGTCTCTTCAGATCCCTATCCCTGTCAACCAGATCAGGGGGCTGGTTGCCCTTGGGACAGCCAGTCTTTCTGTTGAAGACTGAGGCAAAGAAGGCATTAAGTACCTCAGCCTTTTCCTCATCTTTGATTACAACACTCCCCTCCATATCCAATAAGACATTCCATACTAGCTGTTCTGATCCCAAACATTCACCTCTGAAGACCTATTTCCATTATCAAGATGCAGTCTCTACTTGGACAATACATCCTTTGAAATCCTACCATCATTAAATTTTCAAAGGTTTTTTTTTTTTTTAATTGGACTAGAGCTGAACAACTGGAACTGAGCAGCCTGATATCACCATTTATTCTAACAGTCCATGGGCTAAACTCCATCATTTTTAATTTTCTCATGGTTCAGTACAGTAAAGCAAATCTTCATGGACATTTCATGAAGCCATGCCCTCTGCAAAAAAGGACATCCAAAAGATATACTAACATTACCATTTCTTACACTGGTATCAAGGAAAGCTAGTTCTGTATTTGACCTAAATGTTTAGTCAACCAGAACTTTAGAGTAATTAGAGATCTCATATAAAAATACATAAAGAGATAAAAAAATAATTTTTTCCAAATAAGATCAGGACTCACCATCACTAACATATTGGTGGTCTCATGTGATTAAAAGCTATATTAACTTGCTGCTCAAACTCATACTCAGGGTATGAATTTCTATGCCCTCACAATACTAGAATGTGTTTTGGCTCATATTTTCTACACAATATGGACATTGGCAGATCAAGCCACATGGCATTATGAACTAGAACCCTTATGCCATCTCTGCTCAATGAAGGAGACTGATCCACAGACTGCTTCTGAACACTTAAGAAAACTCCTCAGATTCTTTAAAAAAAGAAAACCAACAAGAGAAAAATCCCCACAAAAACCCAGCCACATTATTCTAAAAATACAAGTGCCTGACCTCTGGTTGGTATTTGCACAGCTGAGCTCAGTGTATGACTCTATTGAAGGTATTTTCAAGAAAACCTGAATTTCAAAGCAGTTCAGTATATATTCTACATGTCCAGTGACTGTGAACATTTTGAGATAACTGATTACTATTTTTATGGTTTGGAAATTATTTCAGAAAGAACGATCCCTCAAAAATCTCTTGGTGAAAAAATCTGGGTGAGAGAGAAAACAACAATATCTTTTCCTCTTGCAAAATGTTTTCACAAGTATCTTTCTATTTTCTTATCAGCAGATTTGTGGAAGTTTAAGGTCTCATCTTGACTTGGACAGTTGTTACATTTTATTTCTTTTACAAAAATGCCTGGAGGCAAGAAAGCAGCTTTTCTAAAGAAAAAGGGTAATTTTGAAATTTCAGTCATAGCTTGGAACACTAACAGTTTTTGCTAAGTTAAACACTTGTTTCAAGCCAGTATGTAAAAATATAAACCCAAAGAAACTTCAGACTCCTTATCTGCAAAAGATGAATTAGCATTAAAACGTTCACTGCTCTTAGATATTATACCCAATCTGTCTGCAAACTTGTCAAATCCAAGTGTAAATGTCATGCCCCAGTTACTTTCAGGTACAATATTTCTCAAAAGTAATATTGTATGCCACTACCTCCAAACCCATTTATTTTACACACACAGTGATGGAAAACTATGTGCAAAGGTAACCAACCAGGACTAAATGGGTTTAGTTTCATTTGGTGCATGAGTGGCTTACACATAAAAATTCTATTAATTATATTGTAAATCCCCTGGCACAGCAGGTTGAGCAGACTCACCCTGAAGACAGTTATCAGAAGAGATAACTGCTGTGCCATGAACCATAAAATGGTCAGCGGCTTCATGGTACTTATTCCTTGTGAAATATGGAGGGGAAAAAAGGAGAAGAGGCTGTAGAACACATTCAGAATAGATTAAGGGAAAACCAACAACACTGGGCAAATTTCCCAAGTTCGACCCATACACTTAAAAAGGAGGTATGTTACTACAACCTGCATTGACTAAAGAGTTGGTAAAGTTTCAGCTTGTCCAGAAGATGCTAATCACCACCTCTTCCTCTCCAGTGCTGACCTTATTGAATTCCTTTTCTGTAATCAGATACAGAATTCAGTCTCAAGTGCCAGCTGCTGCTGCAGATACAACTTCGTCATGTCCTTATATAAGAATTCCTCAGGTTGGATATTTTCTGCTTTTTATCTGCACTTGATTTACCAAACCCACAAATAGTCATAACCATGATTTGTATGTCTCAGTGAGGACTCTACTGCCTTCCTGTATATGGAGTATGTCTTGGCAAAGCAGGACTCAACAATCTCTGCATAGCAGAGGTCCCACTGCAGTAACACTGGCCAAACCTGCATCTTCTTCTTGGGTACTGCCAACACTTCCAGACCAGGAATTGAAAGCCACATATGCTTTACCACTTAATAGTTTACATCTACATCTCTTCAGCATTTTGCCAAGATTTCTGCATCATCACTCCCTTGTGTTGATACCACTTCATTTGTTCTCCAACGTTCAGACCTCTGGGGCTTTCCCTGGAAACTTCTCTGACAGTCATAATTCCAGATTCTTATCCTCAGCTATGTAATGCTCTTACAACACTGCCCTTCCATATTTGTTATTGCATCCCTCTCTGATACTGCCATCAAATTTGCTCTCTTGTTCTCTTCTGTGAATGTGAATGTAAGAACATGCATTCTTCTGCATGTAAGGCCATTTAGTGCAAGCACTTGCACTCGAGCCTGTCTTATGCCACCTGAATGGAGCATCTTCTCCTAAGCCACAGGCACTGCCCTGCTCTCCTCCCCTGCATCTCTCTCTCCTCACATTCCCTGCAAAGCTCTGTAGCACAGAACTAGACAAAATACACAGCCTCTCAGAGACACTAAATTTGCCTAGAAGTTAAAAGGAAATTTTTACATTATTCAGAACCTTTAGTTTGTATATTAGTTATCTACAAAAAAGCATGTTGCTCTCACTGCTACCCTCTACTTTCTTTTTTATTTATTTAAGTAGTTTTCCAACTCCTACTGAGTTTCAACTGAAACAATATTTAAAGCAGATCACTCTCAGGCTGGTGACTTTATGATGTGCAGCCCGAGCACCAAGCAAAAGAGGGCACCCTGGCAGTTAACAGAACATCAAAATCAGCTGTAAAAGCATGTTGTGACTTTAGATAATCTTACTGGCTGAAAAAAATGTAAAATCCAATTAAATCAAATTATATGAAACAAAACAGTAGAATGAAATAAAGCTGCAAATTCAAAATATTTAACATAGTTAACAGAAGAAAATAATCCATGGAACATACTGTTATGGGAAAAATTATAAACATGTAACCAAAGAGAGTTACTATATCATCTGAACAATGTAACCAAGCGTTTTCTAATGAAGCACAGATGTAAAGAGTGATCTAGCACAGCCAATCCATTCGAACTTACACTCCTGTATTCCTCTACTTCTCTGTTAAAATAAACATGACATTTAGAAATTAAAAGAACCTTCTCATTTCCTCAATTAAACCATGTTCTAACTGTCTGGATTGTAACTACAAGGTGATAACATTGTTATTATTAAAAATATTAAATGCATATATGTCAGGAAAAAAGCTAATACATGCATACATTATATTTGTTTATAATTCACTAAATATTAGCTACATTTTACATGAAATCCAGATGTATATTTATTAGAAACCCACTGGCCCTCTGCATTGTGGAAGCCCATGCATGGCATGAACACTGCTGGGGAAACGGAATGGTTTGGTTAGGAAAGCCAGCTTTATACAGCAGAGCAAAATCACTGTGGAACCTGCTTCCACCCACAATGGAAACTTTACACTTTGGAGTCACTCAAATCTTCCCAGACACTTCCTACTCACGTTACTGTCCTGCAGACACTTCAACATGCAGGGTAAATGCAGCTAATAAGCATAATTAGCTCAGACAGTGTATTTTAATTTAGTTTTGCACTAAAGACTAATTGCCTACTCAGCGAAGGGGAAGTGGAACATTTTTTTAAGATGCTTACCCGAGGGCCCTGATCACCTTGATCTCCCTGCAAAGTGGAAAGATGAGATGATAGGTTTAACACAGCATCTGTGTGCTACCCAGCTCTCTTACATAATCTAACATTTCACTGCATCAATACAAACAGTCTCTTGAGTTCATGCTGGGAGGGCTTTCCAGTCACCTTGTAAGAATCGCCCGAACATCAACTCACCTTCTCGCCTTTTGGACCAGGAGGGCCCTGAAAGAAAGAAAGGCAAAGATTATTTACTGATGCTGATGAAGCCCTGGGACACAGCAAGAAACAGGTCTGTGTCGATCCGCAATTTTTTCCCAACAATATATTTCCTTATAATTTTTAACTCCAAATGCCAGTGCTATTCCAGAGATGGTTTCTTCACTGTACTAATAATAGGAACTGCACACTATTTCTTGAATAGTTTGCTAATGTGTGTTGAATCAGTCTACTTAGACAAGCAAAACTATGCCTGAAATGGCAAAATAGCTACAGATTTCACTTAGGGACAATAGTTTATCTCCTATCAGATAAAAAAAAAAAAAGAAGTTTTCTTAGACCGTAAAAGTTCTTTGCAAGAGCACTTAATAAATTCAAATACATATAAATCTGTCGTATTTTGGCACCCTTCTTGTATTAGATTGCCAAAGAAAAACGGATTTGAAATTCTAAAAGTAGGGTTTTCATTCCTTTCTTTGGCAATACTGATGTTTAGTCTCAAGCAGACTATTTAGACAAAATGAGCCCTTTGTATAACATGATTTTGTAGGAGTATTACTTTTTGTTACTTACCACCCAACAAACAGTAAGGTGACAGAATCACAAATAGGAAGTCCTTTCCTATTCCATTTTTATTGAGCACTTTGCAGAAAGCTAGCAGCAGGTTTCTAAACCACCAGTTTTTCAGGTTAGTGTCTTGTGAGTAAAATGCTATCAGTCTGCAAAAAACTGTCTGCTTACACAGTGCAGACTCTACCTCCAGCTTTCTGAAAGATATGCAGGTGTTTCATTACAAAGAAGGACCTGAGATACATATGAAAGCAGCTGTAAACAGAGAAGGAGCCATTCAAGCCAGCATGGTTGGTTATCACTGTGATAACACAAAGAGAGCGTGTGGCAGTATGTGTGTGCGTGTTTGTGAGGGTTTATGCAGAACAAGAAAGGACTGTCACTAACAACACCAGTAAAAAACTCCTGTGGTTCACATAAATACAATGGAATGGAGGTCAGTCTGCTGTGTATTAAAGATGTGATCAACTACAGGCAAGCCTTTGAGAATCCCTATCGTAGCAAATTTTCTGCTTAGTTTTAAGGGCTTCTGATGCATGCCAGAGGAGAGCATCTGCTGCTGAATCAAAGGAATTGAAGCATATGCCTCTCTTTCCATGGCCTGCCATCTCTTCTGTCTGCTGCAGAGGACACAGAACCAAGGCTGCTTCCTGATGTCCCCACGTCTCCTTCAGGAAGGACGGTGCTCACTGCCAGCTGAGTGGAAACTCTCTGCTCAATTAACTATGACCCCTGCCCACTTTGCATTGCCCTGCAAGCACTTGGCCTCTTTAAAAACAAATTAAACACAATAATTTAATTAACAGATACAACCTGGCTGCACCTTTAAGGTCTCTCCATACATTTTTTCTAATGCTTTAGGCCCCACTGTCCTTTCGCAGTTCACATAAATATATACTGAAAACTAAGTGCAGCACTGTCAACCTTTAGCTACAGTCTCCACATACAGGTACTGTGACATGACATTACAGTAGAGCAGGTCTGCTTCAAAGCTTACACATCCATGCCACTGAGCGTGTGAATTTGTGAACTCGTACCATCAGTAACAGTAATTGCAAGATGGGAAGAGCTACAATCAGTCGGTGCAGGTTGTTGCTGCCTTCTCCAGAGTGAATGCGAAGCACAAGCCAAGGGTTGTGCTCACGTGTTCTATCTCCTTGAATCATCAAGCCATTGCTAGCTCTGAATATCTCACTGGCTGCAAAGTGCAAATAGCATGACCCCTATCTGCTACAGTCAGAATCCTATTTCTCAAGCCTTAGGCATGAAATTATAAGGTAACGTGACACGACTGAGACTGTAAACAGATGTTGTTTTGTGGTAGCTGTTGCTGCCTTCATCTACATGCTCAGTGCCGTTCTTACACCCAAGAGTGGCCCTGCTTCTGATGGGCTTTGGCTCATAACTTTCCTGAAGCGTGCTTGCCACAGCTCTGCCTGTTGGTAGAAGCTACAAGAGGACAGATCACATCAGCTGCCTAAGGGGCTCAGCCACCAGATCTGCAGAGCTACTGCACTGTTTCCCTGGCACGACTGCTGGCAATTATGTTCAGCCATCACCAGTGCACAGGTGGCCCCTTTCTCTACCCTGCATATTTTCCTCTGCTAACAGTTCTCTGAAAGTACAACCTATACCCAAACATGCTTTTTAATAAGACTGAATCATGTATCTTTTTTCTTCCTCCTTTTTCTGTGCAGGATTTTCTGAAAACAGTCTGTGCACATCATAATCAGATTTTGCTTTGTTTTTTCTTGCTTGGTTTTTTCGCTCCCTGAGTGGTACGCATGGTCATCTCTAACAAGTCACCCTTCCAGCACACAAATTTTTCATAAAAGTCTTCATAAACATCTGACAATTTTATTGTACCATGGGTGAAAAACAGCTTTTCAAAAGTGTACAAAAGCACTTCTGGTGTGAACATTCTCACAAGTCTCTTCACTTGTATTTGAAATGCTTTTGCTTTCTGCAAGAGTCTTGAAAAACAAACAAATAAATGCAAATAAAAATGGTTCTTTTGGATGCAAGTGAAGAGAACCAGTGGGGTTTCACCGAAATAAAAATTAATGGAATACTTTCATGGCTTGTTCACCCATCTCTGGCTTTTCCCCAATGTTTCAATTGTCCTCTATTGTTTTTGCAACTTTAAACAGAAAATTCCTATCCTCAGCCTTTGACATCTTCTTTCCATTTGTGCTGAGAAATTCTCCCAAGGTTTTTTACTGCAGAGTTTATTAGTGTATGTACACTGAGTGGAGGCAGGGAGGAAAAAAAAAATCTGAGGGAAAGTTGGATTTGTGGGGGTGGGGTGTGATTAGGAGACAGATTTGTTTAAAGGAGGGCAAGGTTTCTTCTGTTTAAGGGTACAGACACAAAGCACAGAGTGAGTAAAATAACACTAGTTTTGCAGGCCACAGCATGGACTTGCTGCTTTTTTTCCCAGGGAGACTTCTGTGCTTTCGTTTATGAGATGGCAGAGATCAAGCCACGAGCTGCCGAACAAATGTGAAAGCATTTTGTGTAAGTTATATGAAACGTCTGAGGTCAGAGCATTTCTGAAATAACTTCACAGTGTTTTCACTGGGAACAGAGGCTCTTTTCTCAAAGTGTAATTATCTACTCCAGACTACTATACATTTCCAAGGAGAGTTTATAGCCTGTTTCACATAAGCAAGGCCTTGTAAATCTCAAACACATGCAAAATCTGCATTCATAATTAGGCAAAAAATACTACTGTTTTTAAAACAAGGTCTCCTACAGTAGACTGAAAGGCCTCCAGGCACCTGCCAGCTAAGAACAGAGCTGAAATCAGGGTCAAATCCAAAAACCAGCCATATTCAGGATTGCTCACAGGTGACCCCCTCCTGCCTTTTTTTTTTTTTGCTATCAAAATCCTATTTCCATACTCTGATGAAATTTTACATTATTATAAATATGTGTACAGGAATAGAAAGACAAGAGAATGCAATACTAGAAAACAGGAGATTGATCCTTGCAGTCTTCATCAAGCAACGTTCCATTAGAATTAACTGAGTGTGATCAGCATGACTTTTTCCACACAGATGAAATTTTGTAATTCATTCCCTAAAATATGCTAATTTTGAATTCTACCCTTGAGGCCATTGCCACCTACATAGTTTTGCCAAAGTTACATCCAGAGACCTCTTAAAAAACCAGTAGTTGACTTATATTGGTTTTACAAACATTCATAATTATCAAAATTCTCTTACAGATATATTCTCTCCACATACCTATTGCTACAAATCTGCCTTTAGCCATAATACAGGAAGTTCTGCTACAAACTCACCCAAAAGGCTCCAAGCATTGATGCGACAGCAGAACTGAAAACAGTAAGGGATTCTTAATACAGAGTACAAAGTGATATTGAAGGTTCTGTAAAAAGCTCTGCAGTCAGTAGAGTCAGAGAGGAGTGCAGATTTTTCCTGTTAGACAGCCCATATGATGCCTCTGTAAAAAGGACCAGCCAGTCCCCTGCACAAGCTGGTGACAACCAACCAACCAACCAAGAGAATCAGCTGGACTGTGACAGAACCAGGTCCCACTGGGATCATCCAGCCTCACAGCTCCGAAGGAACACGACACGCCAAACCTGACAGCTCCCATCAGAGCTACCACAGAAGACACAGGTGATAACAACCTTTCAGACACAGTCACTGCTTTCCTACATTCCCACCACAGCAGCCACAGGCTAAGGCAAGCTGGCAGCTGGAGGACTGAATGCAGTTTGCAAGGTTCAGCCTTCATTTTCATTTGGGATCGAGGGGCGTGCAGTGCAGTCATCCCTCCCAGCACCCACAGTGTGACTGGCAGCCTAAGGCAACAGCAGCCGTGCAGAAACCAACAGAAAAGTGAACCACCTACTCCAATGTCACCCAGACAAACCCAAAAAGGGAATCAATTTCCCAGCTTAGTTTAACCATGTTTTCACAACTAAACAGCATGCCATACATTGGCTAAGTTAATTCAATATTGCAGATTACTTTAAGGGTAAAAGGCAGCTTCGGCACATGACAACAAAATAAATCAGATACAAAAGTTGAACTTTCTTTCTTTGAAACTTTACTCATGACTTCAATAAACTACAAGAATCTGACCAGAACAACAGTTCCCATCCTGTCCTGTAATTGCTGCAAAATATTAGGATCAGATATGCTGAATCACAAGAGGTTACACAGAGCATTATGAAACACCGCTGTGTTTCATAACTATGCCAAAGTTCCTACACTCATTTCAGTCTTGTGTCCACCATGCAAACCCTGAACTACTGAGACAATGTGGTTTTGGCATCTGCTGAGCTTGGCCATGTTTTCAGACAGTGTTTACATACGCTAGTTTACAAGGCCAACAATTCACCTTGCAACAATTTTACAAGTACTCAGAAGAATGAGAACTGTTCACTGAATCTGAACAGTTTCTAC